ACTCAAACCAAAAAAAAAAAAAAAAAAAAAAGAAAAAAGAGATTCCTCATTAAAAACAAAGGTAACTCCTATCACTAAGGAAATTCCATGGTTTGAAGAGCTCTGAGACAGGAAAAGTAAAAACTGACCCAAACAAACTTTAAAACCAATATATTATACAATAATAAAGAGCACTTTACTTTTATATAACTGTCATTCAGCAAATACTAGTACATTGGGAAATCATATCACAACTTAATCTCCTTTTCAATAGAAAGGTTTTCTAAGAATTGACTTGGAGTCTTCCACATTTATCAGATGCCTTTTCATTATTCTTTTCCATTTTTGCAATTCTTGACCCAAACTGCATGGCCCGTTTCGGCAGAAGAGCGGAGGCTAGAAGACCAAGTTCCGTAGCTGCAAGGCGTAAAATGAGCTTTTCACCAATTCCACGGGGTAAAGTCAAGTCTGCCTTTTCCCAAACTGGTAGGGAATTTAGAAAGGAGACAACATTTTCATCCAGGAAAGGAAATCTAAAATAAATAAATAGATAACCACTATGTAAAAATAAAATCAATGTTATAAATTTTATAAAATTTCATAGTTAAAATTTAATCACATTAAAAAAGTGTCTCATAACACTCTGCTAGTTTTAGTACATATGCTACGAAATAGTCTAAGTCTCAACAAATAAATTATGTCTATGGTGTCAAATAATTTCAAATTGTTTCACACAATATTTTTGGGAAGGCCTTGAAAACAGGCATGATCTTAGTTAACTACTTGATCTGTCTCTGATCTTCATCATGTCTAAATAATGATACTGTAGGGATATGGAACCAATACAGAAGGGCCCACAACCCTGAACCTGCAAAACACAGTAAAACTTTATGGTTATCAAACTGTTTAATTACATTTAAACCAATTAAATGGTGACACATTGGTGTAACAGAACAAAATATTGGATTCCTTTTTTCTAAATTCTGGGGTAACTTAGAAACAAAATATCTTATTTTTATTTTTTTCTATTTCTGGGATAGGCTGAAGTGTGTGGTGTGATCATAGCTCATTGTAGCCTCAACCTCCCGGGCTCAGGTAATCCTTCTGTCTCAGCCTCTGGAGTAGCTGGGACAACAGGCATGCACCAGCATGCCTATTTTTTTCCTTTTTTGAGTTGGAGTCTCACTCCACTGCCCAGGCTGGAGTGCAGTGGCACACTCACTGCAACCCCAGTGTTGACCTGCTGGGCTCTGGTGATCCTTCCGCCTCAGCCTTCCAAGTTGCTGGAACTACAGGTGTGTCTACCATGCACGGCTAATTTTTTATTTATTGTAGAGACAAGGTCTTGCCAAGTTGCCCAGGCTGGTCTTGAATCCACGGGTTCAATTCACTTGCCTCAGCCTCCCAAAGTGCTGGGATTACAGGTGGAGACACAGAGTCCAGCGTATTTTTTAATTTTTTTGTAGTGATGAGGCCTTGCTATGTTGCCCAGGCTGGTCTCAACCTCCTGGACTCAAGCAATTCTTCCCATCTTGGCTTCCTACAGTGCTGGGATTATAGGCATGAGGCACAGTACCTGGCGTAAAATATTAGATTAAAAAAAACAACTGTCTGCCTTTTTGGCTTCCCTAATTTCTACAAAACTGTTGTTTTTTTGTTTAAAATACTTTAAGACTCCTACCCCATATCAATTTCTCAAAAGTGCAACACAGTTGCTAGTGTTTCCATTTCATTACATTTTATTCTAGCTTGGGTAGAGAGATTGGAAAGGGTAAAGGCATTTTGTTATATGGGTATTTTATAAAAATGAACTGTAAAAGCAAATTTAAATAGAGAATCTAATTAATAGATTAATGTAACTAGGTACGCCAAGATACATAATAAATTATTTAGATCTAGCCATTATAATGGTTTTTGTGACATCACATTTTGTATTAGCTGTTTTAAACTTTCTTTGTATGTGTTTTTATTTGCACATAACACAATAGTTTCATTTGGAGCCTTTAGCAGTACGTGGTTTCACTAGACAAATTTCTTCTCTCCAACCTAGCTAAAATAATGGATTGAATTTTCTTCTATTGCTCTCTTTCTCACCTTCAGAGGGAAGACAGTTTACAGACTTTCTATTGTGGCATTAGTAGTTATCTCTTTACAATGAAATCTTGAAAACTGTGACAGAATTAACGACTTAGCAGTCAAAGTTGTTCATGCATCAGGACTGGAAACATAAGAACCACAACTGTGTAAAGGCAACCTCCAGTTAGGGAACAGAGGAAATGACTAAGAGCAGACAAGAAACAATGAAGTCCCAGAGAGAGAGAGCAGGTGTAATTTGATATTTCAGTTCCATGAGGCTGACTTGGACTCTCTGTTCTTGTGTGCTTGGCCCCTTGTATGCTATTTAATACATTAGCCTATTTGGACAGACTTTTGCTCCTTATGACTTAAGTGTCTTATCTTTCTTTCTCCTTAATGCTTTATTCAAGCACTGTGCTTGTTTATTACCATCAGAAATATGATATAGGTAAAAATAAACTTGGGATCAAAAAATAATAGACACAAAGGTAACTTAATCATTTTGAAGGTTTTAGGTAATCTGTAACATATGACTCAATTATGTTCAGAAGACATGTAACAGAGGACAATCCAGCATAGGACCACCTCCAAACCAGGTATGGATCCGCACATAGAGAAATGTCTACAGAGACACAGCCAGTTTCTACAGCATTGAAGGAGAAAGCTTGCAGGTGGGGCTTAGACTCTTATTGCTAGGAAAGCAACACTGAAAACAAAACAAAACTCTCTGAATGCTTTCTCTTGGTGTTTCGCTATCTCAGTTTTCCTTTTACACTTGTCTTAAAAACAACCATGTCATTTTTGTCACCTTTGAAGATTACCGAAAAGACATTTCTTAGAGAATAACTTTTGGAAAACAACTGGTCATCTGGCTCCTCCTGGCTTGGCTTCTACATTTGTAATAAATAAGCCAAGATATTATCACTGCTCCTGTTACTCATCTGAACAGTCTCCAAAGAGAAAATAAACTTGCAAGTCTCCACTTACAATCTGCTGTGTTTACAAAATACCCTCACAATACTCAAACGCTCAGAATTACCTTGCTTCTCTTCCATGATCACCAATAACTCTGTCATCACGACCAAGATTTCTAGAAGAAATTCGACCCAGTTCCATCACTATGTCCTTATTCAATCCCTCCAGTCCATGTGTCTGAAAGCGGACACGATGTCGAGAATAGCCTGCAAGTTGCTCATCTGCACCAATTCCAGTGAGGACTACCTGCAAAGTTGAAAAAACCATATAAAAATGTTATCTACTCTACAGAAAATAACTAAAAACTGTAAGCCTAAAGGTAACACGTTTGGAGAAAAACCACAAGATAAAGTCACAAAATAGTAAAACATGTCTAATTCTAAGGAAGTCATATACATTGTGTCATGGTTTGGATACAATGAAAATATGCTTTTCTTACAACCAAAATGATACAACACCTTAAGGGTCAAAATTAGGTCTCAGAAATCCCTAAAAGAAGTGCTGCACCTACCTTTGCTCTGCTCTGATACGACATCAATCCATCCTGGGTCACTAACCAACCAATTCCTCTGGAAGCGAACCAGACTGCACAGCCAATGCTATCATCCAAAACTGTGTCCAATGGTTGAATTAAGTGACATATTCGACTTCTTCTTAATTTCTGCAGTTCTTCCAGAGAAACATTAATTTCAACAAAATTCCAAGTTCGAGAAGGGTTAACAGCTTGTAGTTCCTTTAGTCCTGCTCTTCCTGTGATTCGATCTGGTACACTGAATTGTTTATCAGAATTAGCAGCAGCAGCAACGCTTTTAGAGAATTCTTCAGATGGTATTTCACAATGATTTTTCTGTTTAGTCCATTTCTTGTTAGAGCAAGTGGGTTTGGTCTTTTCTTCAGTCATGAAAGCTACATTAAGAAGATCAATGGGCTCATCTGGAGGAATATGGCGGTCAGCAAGGGTTGCAATAACCATGGAATCAATGCCCCCAGAAAACAGGACTGCAACATTTGCCTTCCTATCACAAGCTTTCAAAACTTCACTTCGTGCCAGGTTTTCATCCCTAGGTAAACACAAGACACGTCTCTTGACTGCGACACTCAGGACATCAATGAACTGTTGAATTACTCCTTTCATGTGTCCATCAGTAAGAAAGCCTTGAAGTGTCTCTCTTGTGGGTGGGATGCTGGAAACATTACTGTAGTGAGTCTCCAGTGGAGCTTGTGGCAAGATCACATTTAAAGGAACAACAGGTTTTTCAAGATACATTTTGGCTTCATTTGCAACCACTGATACAAATGCTGGTAAGTCTGCTGAAATTTGACTCAGGCTATTAACACATTCTTCAGCGGTATTCTCCCTAGAATTATACTTCCAAGGATACAATTTTAAAATCACATGTCTGGAAAGGGCAGCAGACTTAAGATCAATTCTAAAAATTCCAGACGCTGGAACTTCTTGCCACACAGATGTCTGGGTGCCAACTGAAGACAGGCAGAAACTCTTGCCCAAATCATTAAAATGCCAGAGCAAGCTACGGCGACCAAAAAAGTCCCTACCGAACCATAAATAATGACTAGATGCTTGATAGTATACAAAAGACCAAGGACCCTGGACTTCTGAGAAGAGTGACAAAATATCAGATTCATCCTTACAAGAGGAAAGATACTCAGACACAATTTGAGTATCATTCTCTTGAGCTTCAACTTTTACTCCACTGAAGACCTCTCCATTCCAGAGGAACACGTTGCCTCTTTCATCTTCCACAGGCTGGGGAGTCAAGACACCTCTCAACCAAAGGACATGACCAGAAAATAAACACTGGTAGTGAACATCAGACTTTAACAACTGTTTACTACTGTTGGGTCCTCGTCGCTTAAGATTACACAGTAAATCCTCTTCCAAATCTTTGCTGAAATGCTCAACAGAAAAGCTTACAGAGCAACAAATGCCACACATTGTTATGTGAAATCACAGGTTGGCTACTTCTTGACTTTAGTCTTCTCTGAGTTTTCTATTTCTTGGTATTCTTTTTTCAGCTCATCCAAGATATCTGTGTCCGGGAGAGAGAAGAAATATAAAACAAATAAAACTCTTGCATTTTTACCTAGTAATTCATAGGGCAACATACACCACTTCAAGATCAAATTATATGAGGGGAACCTTAAAAAAAACCTAATTACATTTGGAGGGCAGGCCCTTTGAAGTACAGGCTTCCCCCACTGGGTGAGTGTTCTAGGAATCCTTGGCATCAGTGTACCAGCTAGCACTGTTGCGAGAGGCTGTGTTTGGTTTCAGTTAAAATTTTTTTTGGAGATTATTTCAATTGTTTGGGTGATTTAAGAGTGCACTTGCCCATACCACGCTTAGCATTCAGCAGTTTTTGGCCAGAAACAGCATGACCCCCATCCCTAGTCATCTGATTTCATTCTGAGGAACTTTTTCTTTGTTTCCCCAGATGAAAAAAGTTCTCAAAGGTAAACGTTTTGCCGATGTGGAAGAGGTGAAACAAAAAACGGCAGAAGCACTAAAAGACATTACAAGTGACAAGTCTGAAAACTATGTTGGGCAGTGGAAAAAGTGGCTTCACAGGTGCACTGCATCAAGAGGAGAGTACTTTGAAGGTGTCTGAATGACTGAAGTTTAAACATGTAGGAATAAATGCACAATTTTTAATAAATAAATTCCTGGTTATTTTTGGGTCCCCTCACCATATGAGTACATGCATTGTGCTTGTGCTAACAATAACTTCCAAGAGGCTACTAATAAAGAATGTTTATCTTTAGAAAACGAGCTTCTGTTCGATGAGTGCTTATTATTGGTCCAGGCACTTGGCTAAGCACTTTATATATACCATCTTAGTTAAATCCCACAAGACTTTCCTCAGGGGCTCAAAGTATTTCATCTAAGTCACAAATGTGGAAAGTGGTAATGGCTTTTCATACTTAGAACTGTCTGAAACTCTAAATCACATATTAATAAGTTTTACTTTCTAACACATACTACAACTTATTTTTTTGAGTTGGCGTCTCACTCTGTCGCCCAGACTGGAGTGCAGTGGCCGCTTCCGGCCACGGCAGCCTCGACCTGCTGGGCTCCGGCGATCCTTCCTCCTCAGCCTTCCGAGTAGCCGGAATTACAGGCGCGCGCTACCACGCCCGGCTGATTTTTTGATTTATTGTAGAGATGAGGTCTCGCTGCCCAGGCGGGTCTCGAACCTGCGGGTTCAGGCAATCCACTCACCTCAGCCTTCCAAAGGCGCGGGATTACAGGCTGAGCCACCGAGCCCAGCTCATACTACAATTTTTAAAAAACTATAGAGGCATCCTTGGAAGGCTAAATTGAAGAAAATCAAACTACTGCATTAATTTTTATTTTAACATTCAGATACAGACAGTGTAATGTAGGCACCAAATAAATAAACAAATAGAAGCAAAATCAAATAACACTTACTTTTGCTTTCAGAAAGCATTTCTGTTCGGTCAGCAAGAAAGAATATGTTGCTATTTGGCTGCTGCCTATATACTCTCTGCAAAACATAATTCAGACCAATTCAAGATTTGATTTTAAAGGGAGTAAATGTCAAAATCCTTAGCTCTACTATCACTTATTCCTGAATGTCAGTAATATATGTTCAGTACAATACTTTAGCAAATACAGATAAATAAAAAGATAAATAAAAGTCACCCATTATCCTACCACCTAGAAATTGCTGTTATTAACACTGAGGGTAAAACTCTATTTTTTCTGCATATACTATAGCACTATTTTTCTTTCAAGTGCCTACTGGTTTATGCTTTGTTTTTATCAATGAACAATGTATTAAGAACACTTTTTCTTATCAATAAATGTTCTTTTACAACACGGTTGTGTGGGTATAACACATGATGGTTTATGTGCTCAAACTTCAAATTTCATACATTTAAGGTGTTACTAATGTTATTGTTTACTATCATAAATCGTTGTTATAATGAATATCTTTGAAACTAAGTCTTTGTGTACTTCCATGATTCTTTCCTAAGTATCAATTATTATAAATGGAACTGCTGGGTCAAAGTGTTACACAGTTTGGAGGAATTGATAGATTCTGCCAATTTACTCCCCAGTAAGTTTATATTAATTGTGCCTATTTCTTATATTCCATAAGTGACAATATTAAAACTGTCTAACCTGTCATTAATCTTTAAAATGCTTTAAAGTCACACCTCAGGAACACCAAAAAATAAAATAAAAATAAAGTGCTTTAAAGAGCTCAAGATAATTTCTTCCTGAGCTTCAAAAGGTAATTTTTATAAAAACACGTGAAGTACAACCACACATGAAGCAGTAGCTTGCTCCTTTATGAATTCATTATTAGACATGGCATTAAGTAACCATATTATGCAGTTAGAAAATTTATGTAAAAATTTTTCGGAGGAGGGGAAGCAATTCAATCCCTTTTTTTGTTTAACAATTATGCACACTGATTTAATAGAACAGCTTCTTCTTAGTATATGAGATCTATCAATCTACCCATTAAAACAAGATCCCGGGCACTTCACTTTTACAACATAACTAAAAAGATGCTGAAATACTGTAAACTGTATAAGTAGAATGTAAATCTTATGTATAATTCTTATAACTTTTATAGATAATATAAATAACCAAACCTCCCACATATTGTTCAGAATTCCTCTAATAACTCACCCTATTCTTCTTCAGGTTAGAAAGTTCATCCACAACAATTTTTTGTTCTTTAATCTAATGAAAAAATAAAAAACAAGAAAAAGACTACTTAATCAGAGATCTTTTAAGTATGCTCCATGAAAGTCCTTAAAGTGATTATTTTAAAATTAGAGAGACGGTCCAGGCTCAGTGGATTGCCTGAGCCCCCAGGTTCAAGATCAGCTTGGGCAACTCGGTGAGACCTCATCTCCATAATAAATAAAAAATTAGCTGGGTGTGGTAGTGCACGCCTGTAGTTCCGGCTACTTGGAAGGCTGAGGCGGAAGGATCATTGTAGCCCAGTAGGTCAATGCTGAGGTGGCCGTGAGCATGCCACTGCACTCCAGCCTGGGTGATGGAGTGAGACTCCCACTCAAAAAAAACCCAAAAAATTAGAGAGATGGGTTAAGGCAGTGGTCCTTAACCTTTTTGGCATCAGGGACTGGTTTCTTGGAAGACAATTTTTCCACAGAGAGGGGAAGCGGATATGCAGTCAAACTGTGGCAGAAAGGGGGCTGGTAGCAGTTAAAAGTATTCCTTTTGAAAATCAAGCGGCAAGTTCTGAAAACCCACCAAAGCAGTTTTGTTTGAGAAAAACCAAATAGCCAAGGACTCATGGAAATGCAAAAGAGTAACTAATTCACAAACTTACTCAACTGCTCTCTTATCAGTTTACAGCCCCTACTCACCCTGCATTTCCTGGAAACCATTTGTTCTTTGAAAATCTGATTTTGCTGAGTACAACTTTGTGAATTCCAAAGAAAATGTGTAATCGCTCAACATGACTCCCCTCCCTTACCTAAACAAAGGTATAAGACCCCTCTCCTTCTGGGGATTGTCACTTCCTATAATAAGCCTAGGTGTCATGGCCTGTCTTCCCACTACAAAACCTCACTGCTAATGTTAATCTGTATTTGCAGCCACCCCCCAGTTAGCATCATGACTCAGCTCCACCTTAGATCATCAGGAATTAGTCTCATAAAGAGCACACAACCTAGATCCCTCACATGTACAATTCATAATAGGCTTTGTGCTCCTATGAGAATCTAATGCCACCTCTGGTATGACAGAAGATGGAGATCAGGAAGTAATGTGAGGGATGGGGAGGGGCTATAAGTACAGATGGAGGTTCACTTGCTTGCCCACCACTCACCTCCTGCTGCACAGGTCGGTTTCTAACAGGCCACAGACTGGTATTGGTTCATGGCCTGGGGATTGGGGACCCAAGTTAAGGGGCTACTATGTATTGATTGTCCAAATGGGCAGGTGGTGAACACACAGATTCTTTTCAACAGCAGACTGTGTGGGGGCACAGGTGGGAAAATGCTGGTGAAAACAGCAATTAGACTTGCCAAGTGTTAGGCAACCCACTCAGCCCAGACAGGGGATTGGTGTTGGTAACTGCATTCATACCAAGGACTACTGTTACTAAACAAGGCTTAGAACTCTTATTTAAAAATAGATGATATACACCAAAAGCAATACCAGTCTGTCAATTTTTTTCCCTTAAAGTTTTCAAACAAAGCTTATATAGAATGTAAATTAGAGAGGGAGGGAGGGAGAAGGAGAGAGAAAGAGAGGGGGGGAAGGAGGAGATTCACTTTCCCAAGGTGGGGGGGGGGCCAAAGTCTGTCAATTCTTTTAAATTGTACTTTTAAATGGAATCATGGGTGGGCTATGAACCCCCCCCCCCCATTACCAGTGCTTTTAATGGTTTATGTACTAAGTGGTGCAGCCAGACATTCAGCAAATAGTGATAAAAGATCAAGCAAATAGTGATAAAAGTCCTATTTTGGGAAGTTAGACCTATCAATTTCCACCTTTGCATTTTTCCTTTTTATCTCCAAGAAAAGCACAGTGCTGGTACTGTTAAACTTCATTTTCTATTTGTAGGGGAAGGCTCAACTAAGTGGAAAAACTAAGTTTCTTTTGAACTCTTTTCCATAACTGTACTTATTTTTGTGAGCATGACTGAATACATAGTATCAAGAGTGCCCTTAAAAGCAGGTATTATCATTTTTGTTCTACCTCACATACTTCAGGGATCTGCTATCCATCGATATGTGGAAGTGGCCTGCTACAGAGATCATCGGAGTGGGCTGTATCAATTCATCCCCTACCTGCATGAGCGTACATCTTTCTGTCTCCCCAGTTGGCAGCTGACGGAATTCCAAGGTGGAATTTGTAAAACCTCCTTGAGACTTTCAGTGCTTTCCCATTTATTTAGGAATGGCAGGGATATATTTCACTTTACATCCAAGAAGAAAACTGTGATACAGAAAGATTAAAGGGACTTGTCCAAGATGTCGCTGTTAGGTTGGGGCAGAATCAAAGCCTAGGACATGTGTTTACCTACATATTAACAGCTGAAAGGCCATAACCATTCTCCTCGATGTTTTTTAAGATTTTGTCTGTTAAGATGTGTATCAGTGGGAAACTGCCAGGGAGGGAGCAGGGGGGGACACTTCATCAACAAGGGCACCTGATCTCAAACCAGGTGACGTGGGGACCAAAGTGAGGCAGGCCCAAACTTTACCTGTACAATTACCATTTGTACACCTAATCCTGAATTGTAACTCATATCTTTAAAACAACAATTAAAAAAAAAAAAAGATGGAACAGGAAAAATTATAACATATTGGCTCCCTCCCTCCCTTTTTGGTAGAGGAGTGACAATCAATGCGAGTTTCAGGGCCATTCCCCTGGCTAACACGTGGGAGTGGACTAGAGGAAGGGGACAAACAGGCGACGAGGAGCCCCGTGGGGTGTTTTCTCGGAGGTACCGATGGCAGAAGACGGTGGCTTGTTTGGGATGGGAGGAGTGTCCCTGGCGACAAAGGGACACGTATGAAATAAGCTTCAGAGGCAGGCCTGCTAGCCCTTGGTGATGGGCGTCAGCACGAGTAACTGGATGGGAACGTCCGCGGAGGAAAATACTTCTTAAAGTTTAAAAAAAGCAGAAGAGGAAAACGACTGAAACTTCGCCCCACAAGCGCCGGGGTCTGATTTCGGTGCAAAGGCCAGTCTTCCTCATCGCAACGACGTCCAGCGCAGGGAAGGATCAGCGGCAGCCGTCAAACGCTAAGAATAAAAGCGCAAGGCGGCAGGCAGCGCCCAGGCCCCGCGCCGCCCTCGGGGCCGTCCTAGGGTCTCCCTCTCGTCGCGTCCCACACTCACCCTGCTGCTAAGATCCTTTTGTGGGGTCGAGTCGTCAGGGGGCAGCGGCACGGCGTGGTCCTCCGCGGGCGCCCCTCGGCTGGGCATCTCCACGCAGCGCCCGGTTCGCGGGACGCGCAGCCTCGCGCGAGTCCCAGCGGCCGCCTGGCCCAGCCACTGCGCCTGCGCGCTCGGGCGGCCCTGCCCCTTCCCTTCCCCTTCCCCGGGGGTCCGACCCATCGCGTCGGCGCACTCACTTGTACGCCTGCGCCCTCCGGGTCTGGCCGGGAGCGGTTTCGCGCGTGCGCACGGTTGCTGAGGGCGCACGTGAGCGGAGCCTGATTGCGAAATCTGAGGTTCCTGACTCTCCCCCTGGCGGATCGGATGTACAAATGCTCTTGTGGTTTCTCCACGCCGTCGTATCTGGTTTGCTTCGAGTTATGGGCGCCCTCCAGTGGTACATAGAATAGTAGCGCAGTGGAAATGCCAACTTGCTATTTGTCTTCTGGGGAAAGAATCTCGGGCATTGATTTAAGAGATACAATGTTGGCAACGGAACTGTACAGACCTGTGTGTTTTTATGGCACATCCTCTCCAGTTAGGCTTTCAAGATGCCACCTCCCCTATTATAGAAGAATTGCTTCATTTTCACGACCATACCCTGATAATCGTTTTCCTAATTAGCTCATTAGTACTTTATATTATTACCCTAATGCTAACAACCAAATTAACTCACACAAGCACAATAGATGCCCAAGAAGTAGAGACAGTATGAACCATTCTGCCGGCTATTATCCTTATCTTAATTGCCCTTCCTTCCCTACGTATCCTTTACATAATAGACGAAATTAACAACCCATTTTTAACCGTCGAAACTATAGGACATCAGTGGTACTGAAGCTATGAATACATTGACTACGAAGATCTAAACTTCGATTCCTATATAATCCCCACAACAGACCTCAAACCAGGAGAACTTCGACTACTAGAAGTTGACAACCGTGTAGTTCTACCCATAGAAATACCAATTCGAATATTAATTTCATCAGAAGATGTTCTTCATTCATGAGCTGTACCCTCCTTAGGCTTAAAAACTGATGCCATTCCCGGACGCCTCAACCAAACTACACTCACATCAACCCGACCAGGCCTCTGTTATGGTCAGTGCCCAGAAATTTGCGGGTCCAACCACAGCTTCATGCCCATTGTCCTAGAAGTAGTACCACTAAAATATTTTGAAGATTAATCAACATCAATAACTTAATTAACACTGTGAAGCTTATACAGCATTAACCTTTTAAGTTAAAGACAAAGTATTAATCTTTCCACAGTGAAATGCCCCAACTAAACACATCAACATGATTTATTACTATTTTAGCCGTAACACTAACACTTTTCATTTTATTTCAACTAAATATTTCAAAACTGGTATATCCCCTTAACCCAAGCTTAATAAATATTAAAATACAAATGTTTAAATCCCCTTGAGAACTAAAATGAACGAAAATTTATTTGCCTCTTTCATTACTCCTACAATAATAGGCCTACCTGTAGTAGTACTAATTATTATATTTCCAATTATCTTATTTCCCACCTCAACCCGCCTAGTCAACAACCGATTTATTTCTTTACAACAATGACTAATCCAACTAGTACTTAAACAAATAATGTCTATACACAATAATAAAGGCCGAACTTGATCTCTAATACTAATTTCCCTAATTTTATTTATCGGATCCACAAATTTACTAGGCCTATTGCCCCACTCCTTTACACCAACTACTCAATTATCAATAAATTTATGTATAGCAATTCCTTTATGAGCAGGAGCAGTAATTACTGGCTTTTGCCACAAAACCAAGGCCTCCTTAGCCCACTTTCTCCCACAAGGAACCCCTATTCCCCTGATTCCTATACTAGTCATTATCGAAACAATTAGTCTTTTTATTCAACCAATAGCCCTAGCCGTACGACTAACGGCCAACATCACAGCGGGCCACTTACTCATACACTTAATTGGAGGGGCTACCCTAGTCCTATCATCAATTAATACTATTGCAGCACCAACAACATTCATTATTCTTATATTACTGACAATCCTAGAACTAGCTGTAGCTCTTATTCAAGCCTACGTATTTACACTCTTAGTGAGACTTTACTTACATGATAACACATAATGACCCACCAAACACATGCCTATCACATAGTAAACCCTAGCCCTTGACCACTAACTGGAGCCCTCTCAGCCCTTCTTATAAAGTGGTTTGCCTCACCACTTTAGTGTCTGGCTGGACTCTGGCAGCAGGGGCTGCAGAGGGAGTCCAGAGGCAGAGTTTCACATGAGAGGACAAGAGAAGCATTCTGCCACCATATTGAAGGTGGGGCAGGAAAGTGCTCTGACTTGCTCACCATGGAGAAACAGACTTGATCTCTGTGACTGGTAGATCAACCACTCAGGGGCCGATTGTGATCTATAGAGAATATCCTGAAAGCACAACCTACCCTGATCCAGCCCTGGGACAAAGGATGTGGCCAGAAGAACTCCAAAAAGATCAGTGGTGAGTCTGGGTCTGACCCAAATCTTTTCTTCCCCAGTAATCCTCTGAATGTCAGACCCACATATCTGGGCCATGACTGAGAGAGACAAACCTGGTGGAGCCTGGACATCAGTCACAATAGGAGAACCCCATTCCATGATAGGCCTGGCTGGGGTATCCCCCTGCAAGTACATACCTGAGGAAGAAACAATCCTGCACCTCCCCACTGGAAGGGATCTCCCTGAACATACAAGGGTGGGAGGAGAGGACTGCAGCCTCACCCACCCCCACTGTCCCTCCTTCTTTCCTGCTCCAGACATTGGGGAGAGAGTGAAAGATGTGGAAGCTCTGCAGGAGAGAGCAGAGGAGAGGAACAATAACAGAACCTGCCACAAGAGGGCAGATTTTTAAAAAAAAATTAAAAATTTTTTTTGCCTGTTTATGAGTTCATCTATTTTTCTAGTATTTTTTCTTTGTACATGAATGTGTATGTGAGGGTTTGATCTGCATCCATTTCCTATTTTTCTTTTCTTTTTTTCTTTCCTCTTTTGTTTTTTGTTTTCTCTTTATGTGTGTTTGTGAATGATTGAGTGTTCATTCTTCAGTTGTTGGTTTTTTCTCTTTTGTTCTTCTCTTTAATTTTTAATTTAAGGTGTGTGTGAGGGTTCAATCTGAATTCTTTTGTTTTTGTTTTTTTTTTTCCTGGTCTTTCTCCTTTTTCCTCCATTCATGTTGTGCTAAGCATGTGTGTGTGTTTAGTTTTCCTGGGTTTTTTGTTGTTGTTGTTTGTTTTGTTTCACTTTGTTGTTATTACAGTTTGTTTAGAGGTGTGTGTGTGAGATACAGAGAACACCCACAAGGTGTGTGTGAGATACAGAGAACACCCACAAGACATAAAATGAGAAGACCAACCCCTAGACACATAGTAACACAAAGTAGGCACAAAAGAAAAAATCCTAAAGGCAGCAAGAGAGAAAGGTCAGACTACCTACCAGGGAAAACCAATCAGAATAGCAGCAGGCCTATCAGTAGAAACACTACAAGTAAGAAGATACGTAGTCCTTTATTCAAAGTCCTCAAAGATAAACAATTTCAACCAAGAATTTCTTATCCAGCCAAGTTCAGTTTCATCAGTGATGGAGAACTAAAATCCTTTCCAGATATCTAACCTCTAAGAGATGATGCAGCTTTCAGACCAGCTCTACAAGAGACACTTAAAAGGTATAGGCACAGAAGAAAGAAAGAAAGAAAAAAGAAAAGAAAAAAAAAGAATGACCACATACTTCCCAAGAGAACAGCAGAGCACAGAATCAACAGAGAATACAGCACAGCAACAAACTTGAACACACACACATACATCAACCCCAAAGCCAAAAGAAAACAAGCAAACAGCAACAAAACTTTATAATATCTCATGACAGGGGTGATTAATCACATTTCAATAATCAGCCTGAATGTGAATGGACTAAATCCACCACTGAAAAGACACAGTATGGCAAACTGGATAAGAAACCATTACCCAATTATTTGCTGCATCCAGGAAACTTGTTTCACCAGAAAGAATGCACATAGACTCAAAGTTAAAGGATGGAGAATGAGTTTTCAGTCAAATGGATCCCAAAAGAAGGCAGGAGTTACAATCTTAATATCAGACAAAATAACCTTTAAGCTATCAAAAATTTAAAAAGATACAAAAGGACACTACATTATGAGAAACGTTTCAATCCATCAACAAGAAATATCCATCCTAAACATATATGCACCCAACACAGGAGCACCAACATTTATAAAGCAACTCCTAATTAAACCAAAAAAAGATACTGACTCTAACACTATTATAGCAAGGGAATTGAATACCCCACTAACAGCCCTAGGTACATCATCAAGACAAAAAATCAACAAGGAGATCCAGAACTTAAACTTGTCACTCAACCAAATGGACTTAACAGATACTTACAGATTATTCCACCCAAAAACCACATGAACGTACTCCAAGATTGATCACATCCTTGGTCATAAATCAAGAATAACCAAATTCCATAAGGTTGAAATCTTGCCATGCACATTCTCAGATCACAGTGGAATAAAAATAAATATCAATACCAACAACACTTTCCCAAAGCCCACAAAGATATGGACACTAAACAACATGATGCTGAACAACTACTGGGTCAACACTGCAATCAAAGTTGAAATTAAAAGATTCTTGGAGACAAATGAAAATAAAGAAACATCTTACCAAAACCTCTAGAATACCATGAAAACAGTTCTAAGAGAGGAATTTATATCTCTACAAGCACACATCAAGAAAATGGAAAGATCACAAGTTGAGAGACTAACAAATTACTTAAGGGAGCTGGAAAGAGAAGACCATCAAAACCCCAACTTTAGCAGAAGAATCCAAATCACAAAAATAAGAACCCAAATACTGGACACAGAAGACCTAAATATAATAGAAAACATCAACAAGATAGAAATATGATTCTTTAAAAGGATTAACAAGATTGACGGACCCCTAGTCAGAATGACCAAGAAAAAGAGAAAGAAAACCCAAATAAACACAATCAGAAATACAAAAGATCAA